AATATATAAAATAAAAACTTATTTAAAAATTCACAGAAGCAACCAACTTGAAAACCAAAGACAATTATTATAAAATACAAGCAGTGGTTTGAACACACATATTTCGATTTCAAATTGTTGACCTAGTCTTAGGGTATAATTTACTAGTATAGCTTCTTTTACACTGTTCTAGGAAACCATGATGTTGTTGGAACATGTAGCTAGTTTCTCTCTCCATCTATCCTTCACAGACCACTGCACAAACATATCGCTGTCTTAGAGAGTAAGATACTTCTTTCCACCTTCTATATTTTTCAGCACTCCTTTGAGATCACCCTAAGTTTTTTAATCTTGCGGTTTTATTTACTGTTGAGAATGAATATTTAAGATGAGGAGTATAATTTTTCACTACATACCAGAAATTTGAAGATTTCTTCTTGAAAAGGGCATCCTGAAATTGTTTTTAGAAAAACTCCCCAAAATCTCTATCTTAAAATAGCCATAACTTCCAGCTTTCCTTAATGGGACTGCTAGCATTCCAAACCTGAGTACTGTCTTTGTTCCCAAACCAAAGTCAAATTTCCTTCAGGAAAAAAATGGTAGTGCCTTATGTCCTTACAAGGACTACCTATCACATATAGGTAGCATGTCAAATAAAAATCAGTTTCAAGTCTGTAACTGGAACCAGGACTTTACTCAGTGCTTACTTCCGAAGCAACAAGTACGTATGTATTTACTGCCACCTCTCAGATACTAAGTTCTTATTTGCAGAATGTACACACACTAATACCTCTGTGTGTAAACCACCCATGTGAAGGCTGGGACAGCCACGACCCAGATAATTAGCATGAATTTTCTTTTTCTTATTCCAGGATAATTATTGCAATAGAACTCAAGAATAACTCAGTAGTGACCTCTATTAATGACATATATTAGAACATTTGAGTTTTAGCTGGTTCAGGCAGAATTGACAGCAGAGATTAGAACCCAGCATAAAACACAGCAAGAGAATTAGGATAAAAAGCAACAGCTTCTGTCGAGTTTAAACTGGGGAGAACAGCAGCAAACCTCCTTTGGACCGTGGTCACAGCCACTGTGACATGAGTTGGATGCAGAGACTGTTAGAGTTTGGACTTGACACAACTAGCTCCTGTTTGACCTAAGGAAAAAAGCATCATTGCAGCAGCCCCAAAGAGCAGCAGCAGCAGCCGGGCAGCCAGCGGTGACATTCCACTCCGTAGGAAACAGAAGCCTTACAGAGCACTCACTTTCCCAGGAAGTCCCACACAAACCCCCCTACGTGTTGTGGTGCGGGGACCGACACCTGGTAGGGAGGGTGCAGTTTGCGGGAGGCGTGCTTTCTGAGAAAAGCCACAGTCAGAGAAACCCCCGCCCCAACAGAATGGGACAAAACAACTCGTGGAACGAGGACGTGACAGTACAAATGGAAAGAAAAAGTGAGGAAGGAAACAAAACACAAAATGAAAAGTTACAGAGAGACAGGAGATTATGGAATGGCAATACAAAAAGCAAACGGTTAGTTACAAAGAAAGCGAATTACCGGACAGCTACAAAACCCTCTACACCACCACAGTCCAGAAACAGAAACAAAACTTATAGGGCTGTTCACCCACAGAAGAAACGTGGACTTATGGCCCACCTTCCAGTGAGAAAAAGCAAAATCCTGCCCACATAGAATATAAATTAATGAGCTTGTGCTTTCACTCTCATGTTGACACATAGCATGCACCATATTTAAAACATCATTTTTTTATAACTTTCATCCCACTAACAGCTAAAAAACATTCCCCACCCAATAATTGCAACAGTAACTGAAGAGTAGAAATATTTCCCACTTTATTTTAATTTGAATTGAAGTCAGCTTTACCATCATTGAAAAGGCTTAGGAGAACACTTTCTTGCTTTTCATCTTCTTCTCCTATCTTTCTCCTTCTCTGTTCCCCAACACACCTTCCTAATAAGTGACTCATTACTTCTCTTTTGTGGATGAAACTGTCTTACTCTTTCTCTCCTCCTGACAACGTATGGTCTAGCTGTCACATATAACTAGCATAAGGGAAAACTCTAAGGAGAGAGTGTCTCATTTGAAAAATCCCATTTCTGTTAGCACAGTTAAATTCTCTGAATACGATTCTTCTCATCTTGCTCTATATGGAATAATAACAGTTCCTGATAGGCACAGCAATATTCACATTTTTGCTTGCTGACAAATGCTTCTGTAAGCTCTAGCGTTCTCTTCACAGCAGTTTGAACAGCTGTAGAAGTACTAGAAGTCAGGATAATGTCTACCTTGTTCTGCATAGGCCATAGTTTAGGGAGGTTTATTACAAGGCAAAATTATCTATCCTTATCAGGAAACCAAGACTCTAGCTCTAAAATATCTGCATAACATGCCTGGATATATCAATTCAACCATGGAAGAATACTTCGTAAAGAGCGTGTTTGATAAAAACAGGACCAATGTATACATTTAATAGGCATGTTAAAATTGCTCCTTTGTGTAAAAACTCACAAGAAGAAAGCAAGCTTCCAGAGGAGGAACAGTTGAAAACAACCAAGGCCAAATAGAAATTTCAACAATTATATAGAAAAGGAGACATTACTAGTCAATACCTCACTACAAAGTATCTGAAACCTTTTATCTTCTTCTCTAGTATTGTGATTATATTACAGTTCCACCTGAAAAATCATTTCAGGTGTTGATACATTGCTAATTCACCACGCTAACAGTATGCATCTTGAGTGTCTAGATAATGAAGACCATTTCCTCTTACAGTGGTGAGAGAACATGAATATGCTTATATTTTTTCTCCTTGATTTACATGGCTGCTGGCAATCATACGATAACAAAATTAGTCTTTCCTTTGATATAGCTGAAGTATCTATTCTAATTACTAGAAATAAAAGGAGACATATTCTATGTTATCTCAGTGCTGACAGAAAACACAGCAAGTTAAAAAGTTAATAGGACCACTCTATTTTTTTATAAGAGAAAAGATCAGGTGGTTAGAAGGAAAGGATAACACTGAACAGAAAAAATATTCACCAAATTGTTATGGAACCATGCTCAGTCGTTTAGGGGTTTCATGCTTTTATTGATACAGCAAGAGTCTGGTCTGTCATTGAGACAGCAAGAAGCATGTTACCACTGTGACATGAAAAACAGTAATTGCTTTGCAGATCTCTGGAACTGCACATTTTCAAAGAAAAAGTTCCTTTCTAACTTTTTGAAGATTAGGTACCAATGCTTTTATCTGTAGAAGAGAAGAAGGCCCATCTTCATTTCTCTATTTTTGCTTTGTAGACTATAAACTGTTTCGATTATAGGCCACCTCTATGTGTTTATTAAGTGTTTGATAATGCAGGTCTGAATGGAGGTTTGAGTTTCTGAATGCCAATATAAAAACATCATACTTGAATTAAAAGGATCCCTAAGAAAATTCTCTTCCTGCCCTTCCAATCTCCTCTAGGAATCAGGTTAAGAAACAAAGAATTATTTCTGACTTGTTTTTTCTAAACCATGATTACTTCTGCACACGGAAAAATTATGGTACTATGAACATATTTCTTCCTCATATCTTACTTGAAGTTTGTTGCTTATACCCTGATCCCTAGTCAACTTGCACGGGCTAAAATGATGGCATCGTGAACTGCATGCCCAAGATAGGCATCTGTAAGGGACTGAAAAAAAATCACACAGACATACTGCTATTTAGTTTTTTCATGTCTACACTTAATGAACCTACTGTATCAACCTATTACCTGAATGTTCTGCTGAATATATCATGTATCAATGGGCTGAAAGTTATATCATTAGAAAAAATGGAAAGACTGTTAAAAAGGACATAGCTTTAACTTTGGATGTTCAAGCTTACACCATAAGCATAGAGAACTTTGTTTAAATAAAACAACTTAAAGAAAACCAACAGGATGCTGCTTACAATCACAGAGAGAAGAAATCCTGCTGACAATGGAACTGTGTCAGAGCTCTGTCACTTTCAAGGAAACAAGAATGGACTTCTTAGAAGAGAGATTTTTCAAATCATTCCGAGAGGCCCCTGATGTGACTGCCATCAGGCTAGTGAACAATAATGATTGCCATCCTGCGGAATCTGAAACATCCTCTACTCAGTTGCCCTAATCTTCCTGACACCATATGCAAAGCAGTTAAATAATGGTAAGATAGAAATTATTCTGGCACAAGACAAATAAGCAGATTTCCATTTTGCTTTTCCAAATAGGTGATTCTTCATTGTGAATCATAAACAAAAATCCCCAAACAGATGTTTTTGTCTAGAAACTCGCTGTTGGCCCAAGGTAAGGTGAGAAAAGGACAGAAAACAGAATCTGTTTCAGCTCTTTCCCAAGACCTACTATTTCTAATTGTGATACAAGTGTCATGGAATCATTGTAAATTATAATTTACGTTTTGGGCATTAAAGTCTAGAAAAAACAGCCAAGCACCCTGGCTTCATCAGAGATTGAAAAGGCTGGAAAGTGCTAAACATTTCATTTGGACAAAAGCAAATCTGTTCATTTGGCTTCACATGAGTCAAAGTTTACCTGTATCCCTACTAGTACAAAGAGTTTCTACGCCACTTGTCAGAAGAATCTGAGTAAGTAGTATCGCAAGCTCTTAAATTTTTTCTTATTTGATTTTTTGGAGAACGACGCCTAACAAATTAATCAAATCAAAAGTACAATTATTTTCAAAACACACCACAGTGTTGTAAACTTTTCCTACCATGTCAATTCCCTCACAGCTGTATCTACCTTCTAGTTCTACCTGTATCAGTCTTATTTTTGAGCAGCCAGGCTATGAAAACACACAGTAAGACACCTTTTCGTTTACAATACACCAGAATAAAGAACTGGAGGCAGAAAAATCTAAACAGACTTTCCCAAAATAGGCATTCTAAGGTTTTAAGACAAGAAAACTGGCCTAAATTCTCTCTGACTTTAATCAGCTCTTTTGTTCCTCTGTTAACTTTATGCCATTCTCACCTCTCCAGTTCTGCGATCTTCTTATCCTTATCATTCTTCTCATTTTCCATCTCTTTCAAGATTTCCAGAAGACGATCCACTTCAGCTTGAGCCTTGCCAGATTCCTCCCGATACCGTGCGACCTCCCTCTCCAGCTGCTGCATGTGGTCACTCAGCTCTGGGCTGGCCCTAGCCTCCAGTGTTGCCTCATGAGCCTGTTAAGAAAAAGGTTCAAGAAAAACCACTTCATTCACACATGTATTTTACAGATACTACAATGACTGCCAAATGCTATCTAGATGTCCATTTCAAAATGGCATGATTAATTATGACACAGCAATAAATATACAGTACATATTCTACTTTTAAGTATGGGGAAATACTTCTAGGAAAAGAAAAATTCAGAAACAAATTTAATTTTTTTATTTCAGTCTAAAAATACCTTAAAGTGTTGGTTTTTTTGATCTGAAACAACTGACAGAAGAAAGAAGTAAAAATATGAAAGTCAAACGTCTTTGAAAGAAAAAAAAAGAAAACTAAGTGTGAACAGGTATAAAAAATATCCTAAAATACACTTCTTAACCAGTGATATGCCTGCAGAATCAGTTATCTGAGGTATTTCCAAACTAGATAATCTAAAAAAAAATTCTTATTAGCCTTCCAATAACTCTATCAATATGCAAAGTATCAGATCTTCACAAATGGTGCTAACGTACTGCAGATCTTGCTAGTTATCTGAGCCCTACAGACTGGGACTAATATGAGTACGGCTACCTACTGAAATTATTGAGGAAATACAATTTTCAAAATCAGGCTATGGGGACAAAAAGCATCAGAGGACCGAGGATAAAGTGACTCTTAGGAAGAGGAGTTTGGGGTTGGTTTGTTTGTTTTTAATGGTTTAGTTTGTTATAAAAATCACTAATTAATTAGTAAAATTTATTCAATAGATCTCAAGCATATTAGAGACAAAGAAAAGAATGTATTTATGCTGGAATTTAAACCAGCAGTCTAAGGACTGTCTTTTTATTCTCCCCCTGCACCCCTCTGCTCTCAGATCTTGAACTGCTATTTGATATCAATTAAAGCTATTTCAGAATTGCTCAGTTTTTATTCAGTGATTGGCAGGTTTGGTGGAGCTATTCTGTCAACCAAGATTGCCTGAAAACTCAAAGCCTTTCTCTTCTCTGAAACAAACTTACAACACAAAATGACACTACAGACTTTTTCCTCTGCTGTGTGCAGCTGCAGAAAGGTGTTTTACAAGCTGCCAATGTTCTGCTCCAAAGCACAGCGAATCTAAATCCAACAGTGTAGGACTCTGTTGTTTTTAAAAGTAATTGGACAGAACTGCAGCAGCATAAAACTGAGGGTTAGAGGCTGCTGCTTCCAAAATACCAAACAGCAAAATACACCTGGTTAAATCTGTTTTGATACTCAGTAAAAAAATGACTGGGGGAAAATATTTCTTCATTGACCCCAACTTTTTTCCCTTGAAGCCTCTTGTTTTTAACTAGCTCTGTTAAAGTCAAGGCCACATTCTAGTGAAATCCAGGAGAATATTCTAGGATTGAAGAACATCTTGATGCCTGTCTTCACTGGAACTATGATCTTGGGATGGATCTAGATTTACCAAAAAAATGGAACATTTCATATTCCAGGACCTTGGCCCTGTGGCTCCTGCCAGATGGCCAACGCTAAACCATGGTGGTTTTTTTGTTTGTTTGTTTGTAAGCAGGAATTCCAGAAAGCTGGATAACTTGCACAGTATTTTATCCCAGAACAAAAGGCCTGGCAAAGCCCAGGTCTCTCAGGCAGGAGTGCCTAAAAACCACAGAATGTGAAAGAACAGAACCCTTGCCTGAGGCAATGCATTTAGGAAGACTTAAAAAGTTCCCTAATTCTGAGTTACTTTCAAGCTACTCCTCTGTCAGTCTGAAAATCTTGCTTCTGAGCAAGACCCAGATTAAGGTGCCTCCCTGGTGAGCATGGAAGCTTTCAGAAGCCTTTTGGAGTTAGAGCTGTCAATGCTTCCAGACTCCTTGCTGTCCTATAAGCACTTTGAACTATACACCCTTGGAAAGGGCTCTCTACAACAAACAGAAGTCTGATTAATGCATTGCCAAGATGATGTAGGCTTTAGGAGGACACTGCAGCAACGAGACTGACAAGTGAGTCACTTCCATGAACTGCTGCATGCATCAGGGAACATACTTTGCTTTGGAAGGAGTGTGTTCGTGGGTGTTCCTGAAATGCCCTATTGGGATTTACAGCCTGCAGGAAATCAGAAATATTTGATTTCATTTCCATTTCAACTACACCTAAATTTCAAAGAAAAACTCCAACCTTCCTTCCCAAATGCTGTTTTTGCAGGAATTGGGAATATTGTTTTTGGGAAGCATCTATAAATCTACTGGGGTCATCTGTATTCTCCTAAGAGACACTATGTATAGAGTTAACTCTTGTTTTCATCAGATGCAGAGCCTGAATTCTTCTGTACTGGATTTAGGTATGTTTCTAACATCTCAAATTGTTTGTTTTCATGAGTACTCTTCCAGGCTCTTTAAAGTCATCCAACATAATCAGATAATCAAGAAACTTCTTCAAAAAACAAAAAGCAAAGCTAGGCTGTTAGCTTAGATGACTAAACTCTCGAATTCAAAATAAGTAAAAAGTCCTAATGCAATTCTACTGTCAGGACAGTCCTGATTTATTGTTACTCAGTGCTAATAAAAGCATCTCCACAACAACCCAAGAGACACTACTGAGAAGAGGAAATCAATTTTCTCTTTTAGAAAACTAGCCAACAAGTCAGTGTGTCTGGTTCTTATAGAATGAAAGGGCTATTTACACGACATAAATTATTAGTTAAGACACGTAACACATGTTATTTGTATATAATGCACGTAAGTACAGATACTTTCACCTAACACAAAAAGAATGTTATGTGATATGGTGTAAACTGGAGACCACTTCCTGAGTTGTGAATTACTGAGTGACTTTGCTCCATTTTGTGGGTTATGTACAAAATACGTGTCGCATGACCATATCTAAAATCCTATTGGATTCATTTTTTGTATAGGAGAGAAACATTTAGTGGTTTCCCACAAACTCACACCAAGATGTGGAACAGATGAAACTGGCGACCAGTGCAACATTATGTAAAATAATTCAGCAGTATTTTTTTAACCAAAAAGTTAAACACAAATAATAAATTCCTATATTTGCAGTAAAAAATCCCACATACAACTTCCTTGACCCACAGAACGTGTACAAAGATTCCAAAATGAGGCAGTAATTTAATCTTTTAAGCAGAATGAACATATAAAGTGACAAATGCACTAAGACAATTTCTGCTGTATTAAGAGGTTATAAGAAGAGCATTTCAATAGGTTCAATTTGCAGCTTTGCCTGAGACAGCATTCCTAAATCTACAACCTCTTAATATAGTTACAAACAAAAGAAAAAATTTATAAAAGAATTAAAAAAATTAAATAAATTGAAAAAGCATCTTGCTTAAGATGAAGAGATCATTGCAGTTTCTTCTCTGAGAAATGAGAAATAAGAAAATGTATGTCAACACAGGCCATTGAGTTTACCTGTTTACAGGCTATTTTAAACCTCTGAACTGTTACTACTGACCCTGTCACTAGCTTTCCATGGCTGTTCCAGTGTGGAGTCTAACAGGTGAATTTCAGCTACTTTCAAGAGCACAATCAAACTTACATGTTAAGTTCTGAACTGATCTGCATAGGAAACATAGTCACATTTTAGCTTGAAAGCAGCACCTTCTTAAGCTATGTTTTTATTAGCTAAGCTCATCTGTTCAGTATTAATCTTTCACAGTGTGAATTTAATTTCAAATTCTACGTAGTTCAGTACAGAGAATGTTCAAGCTTACTACTCAGAGCTTACAACTCTGCATATGCTCTTAAAGTTCTTAAAAAGGACTGTAAACTGAGAGCTAGTTTGAAAGCTTTCTGCTTTTCTGCTCTTAGCCATCATTTCTCCATCTGGAATGTGGTAAGTAATGGGGTGAGCACTTCAGGTACCTAAAGAATAAAAGAAAGAGTGATTGTTCCTCAAATAAATGTACTATAACTTCTATTGCTTCCAAAGAAAATCAGCTGACATATCTAACTTCTACAAGTAAAACAAAGATGACAAATGTTTCTCAGAAATAACCACTGTTTACAGATGGAGAGGACAGGAAGACAAAACACAGTAAAAAGAGTAAGTTGATATTTCTCTTGCCAAAAAATTCTTTACTGAGAGGAAACGTAACCTTAAACAGCTTAAAGTGTGCCAGAGGGAGGGAAGAAAACAATAACACAGATCTAATTTAAAAGTTCTAAAACATAAATAAGAATGCCAAACATTGTAACTAAGATTCCAAATCAATATTCTTAAAAGATTAACTAAATCAAACAGGAAACAATTCACAGCAAACACTTTCTACTTTTACCTACGAATTGAGACAGTAAATTAATTTTAATATTTCACATACGAATGTTGCCAAGAACTTCTGGCCACAACGTAGAAGTTCTTGAAAATCTGAAATCCCATTTTAATCCACCCTCTGACCTCCAAGTGTGCCTCATCTCCTAAAAATAGTAAATGCATACAAACCCACAAAAATGTATTATGACTATTTACTGCAAAAGACAAACACACATAACCATTTTCTTTATTTTTCCCTATCATGAAGGCAGAAATTCAAATGATAAAACATGTGTGCTGCCTTTTAATGTGTCTTTATTAGTTTCAACAAAATTATAATTTTGTAAAACAACCAGACTTGCTCCTCCTTCAGTTTCAATATTCTGAACATCATACACTGTAGCACAGCTTTTCAAAAAGGCTGCACTGGAAGTAAAAGGCTCAGTGAATCTTCTGATATTCTATGCACTGGAAAACTTGAGTTTATCACAAAGAGTTGTTATCTTATTATTGACAAAATCTTTTAAATGGTTAGTCTCCATTAATATGATTGTAAATTTTTGACACTCAATAAGCAAGTATTTGGTTGGAATCAGAACACCTGGAATACTAAATAAGAGGAAGACACTCTGAGAAAATCCATGACTGAAAAAAATGTCCTCTTCAAAGATACAAGTTCCCATAGTGGTTACCAAACATTAATAAATTTGCTCTCTTTGGAATTTACACCAACACAAAAAGTTTATAAAGACAGGAGGGAAATTCCCAGGTGATG